TATTTATTTATTTATTTATTTATTTATTTATTTATTTATTTATTTGATTTTATTTATATCCCGCCCATCTGGTATATTTATACCACTCTGAGCGGCTGATATTATTGTTGCAAGAGAGCAAATCAGCATTTCATAAGGCAACTGTAAAATGGGGATACTCCAAACAAAAAATTATAACTTTGAAACTGGACTTCAGACTAACATCAAATTTGGCACAGTTGTAGCAGTCTGCCCTTGCCATATTTCTGAACATTTGGGCAAACAGTTTTCAAGTTATGTTTTTTAAAATGTAACTGTTTTGCACCCCAACCCCATGTGCAGACACCAGTGACCTTCTCTGCCTGCAGATTTAAAACAGATCATTGAAAAGTCCAAACTTGCTTGACAATGGTTAGTCCCAGCTGCTTTAAAAAATAGGAAGGAATCCAAGCTTCGGGGGCGGGGTTAAACTGACTTTGAAAAAAGCTATTTCAAAGGGGGGAATTTCGTACTTTCTGGCTTTCTTATAGACACAAATATTCTAAACCTAAACAGCGCTCTTGAGCTTGAGAGCAGGAAGGGAGATCTGATTTTTTGACCCTGCCAATCAAGTCCACTCTCAGAACTTTTTAACTCTTTCCTGGCCAAACAGACATTGAAAAGGGTTTCTATTTCTGATGTCAAATAATTTAAGATATATCTTAAAAAATAGAGCATAAATATTCAGAAGTTCAATCATTTAAGCTATGAAATTAATGTTTTTTGCTTTGTGGCTGGGGATGGTCTTATTTAATGTTAGTAGAGCTTTGGTGCCTATTCAACCCATCTTGTCACTATACCATTGTTTGGTAACTGTCAGGGTTACCAAACCCTGTGTTTTAACAAGTGTGAATGATAATAAGCAGAGGCTGTGTTTCAACAAGTGTTGAATGATAATAAGCAGAAGATGGTATCCTGTAGACCAGGGGTCTCCAAACATTTCAGTATGAGGGCCACATCATATGTTTTACATATTTTCAAGTGCCGAAGGGGGGGGGGAACAGTTTTATAATGAATGAATATGTTTTATTTGGATCAACAAACTTGTACCTGTATACTTCAATATTAATGGGAATGATGGAATTGCTTGTTTAATTTAAAAATATTGCTGAACTGAGTTTTCAAGCTTGAGGAGCCAATTATTTGTGCTTTAGATTTTTATTGCAAGGCCCCCACCCGGGAGAAGGAGACATGTTAGGCCCTGTGAAAATTCTATGAGTGAGGGAGAGAGAAAATGAGAGAGAGAGAGAGACTTTTAGGGTCTTAACACTCACATATTACTCCAGAAAATAGGTTACCAGCCTCCCATTTCCCAAGTACACTTTTACACAGAATAATGTTCTAAGTGAAATCAAGGAGTTGTATTTGGAGCAGGGGTCTCCAAACTTTTAAGCCACAAGAGAGCAGCCTGGGAAAGGGTGGGACCTTTGTTGTTTCCCTGTGGCAGATAGGCTGAGAGAGAGCACATATGCGTTAGGGCAGGGGATGAGCAGGAGACCAATCCTGTTGCCAGGTGCTGTTAGGGAAGGCAGGGAGGCAAGGTGAGAAAGGTCCTAGAGTCTGGACCAAACTGGATAAAAAGGCATGGTGGGCGGATGTGTCCCACAGGCCGTAGTTTGGAGACCCTGTAAGACCCCAAGCCAGGAGGCTTATGTGGGAGTGCCGTCGCTCCCATCGCGGGCTTAGGTGACTCAGACTACTGCCCCTCCACCTCCCCCGCCTAGACAAGAGAGCAAGCAGGTGGATACCCAGGAACTGGAGGAGATAACAGGAGGAAAGGGACAGAAACACCAGGGGGTTGATACCAGTGACCTGGTGCAGGCACTGAAGGAGTTAAACGTGGTGGAGAAGACCGGGAAGAATTTGGCGGGAAAGGGGAGGGGAAAATTGAGGTGGGAGCTGGGGATATAAAAGAGAAGTGGGAAGAGATCCTGGGAGGTTGGGAGATGTTATGGGTACAGGACCCATGGACTGGGAAGTGGGACCAAGTGAAAGTCCCACACAAGGAAACTGAACGAAGACGACGTCAAGGACAGCAGCCCCGTCCATCTTATTGGGGAGATACAGAGGCGAAGGAGTGGCGTCGTCGCCTGAGGGAGGAGAGAGAAGCGGTGACGAGAGAAGGCAGGGGATGAGCAGGAGACCAATCCTGTTGCCAGGTGCTGTTAGGGAAGGCAGGGAGGCAAGGTGAGAAAGGTCCTAGAGTCTGGACCAAACTGGATAAAAAGGCATGGTGGGCGGATGTGTCCCACAGGCCGTAGTTTGGAGACCCTGTAAGACCCCAAGCCAGGAGGCTTATGTGGGAGTGCCGTCGCTCCCATCGCGGGCTTAGGTGACTCAGACTTCTCCACCTTCCCCGCCTACACAAGAGAGCAAGCAGGTGGATACCCAGGAACTGGAGGAGATAACAGGAGGAAAGGGACAGAAACACCAGGGGGTTGATACCAGTGACCTGGTGCAGGCACTGAAGGAGTTAAATGTGGTGGAGAAGATCGGGAAGAATTTGGTGGGAAAGGGGAGGGGGGAAATTGAGGCAGGAGCTGGGGATATAAAAGAGAAGTGGGAAGAGATCCCGGGGGGTTGGGAGATGTTATGGGTACAGTACCCATGGACTGGGAAGTGGGAGCAAGTAAAAGTCCCACACGAGGAAGCTGAACGAAGACGATGTCAAGGACAGCAGCCCCATCCATCTTATTGGGGAGAGACAGAGGTGAAGGAGTGGCGTCGTCGCCTGAGGAAGGAGAGAGAAGCGGTGGCCAGAGAATTAGAAGCAAAGTGGGCATGGCATCTCGCCGAGTTGCAGAAGACCGCAGCAACCCCAAAGGTAGCCCCACGTAGAGCGCATTACAGTGGTCTAATCTGGAGATTACGAGCGCATGTACCAAGGTAGTGAGGTTTGATCCAGAAGAAGGGGGAGAACCGGTACCAGAAAAGACATTATCTGGACCATGGACACTGGAAGGTACTAACCCGTTTGTTGGTAATGTTTGGACTCCGTTAAAGTTTCCAACCCAAGGGAATTGTGCGACTGTTCCGTTAGAGGTTCCTGTTGATGTTGATGTTTTAATAAATGAAGATAAAGTTGGACCACTGAATGAATCGAGTACTTTATTAACTGCGACTGCCCCTGTAAACACTGAACCCTCACAGACCCCTGCTGTAGACGATCTTGACTGTCCTTTGCTATGTAATACTTGGCATCCTTTTTCCCGCTGGCAACACATGATATTGTGCAGCAACATTGGGCCTTTCCTGGCTTTTTGAATGGTGAGTACAGAAACACAATATTCCACATTAATAAACCAGAGGATTTTTTTGAAGAATTTTTCTCCCACTCTCATCAGTATCTGGTCCACTCTTCCTTAGCTTCAGCTATTTTACATTTTTGAGAACTTTGATTCCTTATTATTGTTGAGAACCACTTCAACTTAACAGTCATCATGCTGAAAATGTACCAGATGTTTAAGATTTTGCAGTTGCCTTTTATTATTCTTGTTGTTTTCACACAGGTATAAGAAATGCTATTCTTGTTGTAAAAGACGCCTGAATTCCAGTCAGCCCATTTATGGAACTGTGGCTTCCTTGTTACAGTCACTGATCACACAGGCAGAGCCTTGCTTTGCTATGTTTGGGCCAGGTTTAGAATATCTGAGTGAATCTTTGGTGCTCAAACTGATGACCAGTCCGGAGGTCTTGCCACTAGCTGGCGTACCTTCTAGACAAATACGTGGTAATGTACTTATTTATTTACAAACTTTCATGTGACCCTTTTTCATATACTTTACGACCCTGTGTTGCCAACAACAGTTTAATCCAGTAATAAAATAAAATACATTTTTGAAAGGAGAAAGTCTATTCTTAAGTTAGACAGATGGAACAGATAAAAGTGATTTCTTCCAAACTGTGGAAAGGGGAGTCTCAGAGCATCATTACACGTGGGGGTGGAGTGGGGGGACTGTGTCTGAATCTGGTTTAGCTTGTTTGAAATCAATTTTTAAAAAATGTGACTACATGACACACATGGAAGTGCAGATTTGTCGGGGAGCTGGGAAGTATGTTTTTTTTTTGGTTGGAAGGTGCGATATTTTACTTGGCTGTGAGAGAGTGAAATCAATTTATTTTCAATTGCTTTGGTATATGTGAACACCTCTGGTGGTATAAATTTTGTCTGTGGGGTTTACCACTCACTGGTGCGCCTTTCTGCTACCTCTCTACTTCTCCACCCTTGTGTATCCCTCCCCTTTGCAACCCTAGTCAACATCTCTGGTCAGTTTCAGCCTCAGCTCTCTATCTTCCCCTCCTTTGCAAGCTGACCTAATCAAAATTTCTCTGGTCAGTTTTAGCCCTCCCTCTCTCTCCACTTCTTCCTCCTGATTTATTTCAATAGTGTAGCCATGCTCAAAGCCATACACAAAGCTATATCTTTTTAGCTGATCTTTTTAGCCAAGCTACAGATCCCACTAATTCAACCTTGTGTTTGACAAGGCTGCTTGGCTTGGTCTACAGTTGTTTTGTATTGGCCAAAGCAACCACAGACAGTGACCAAGACATCTGTTTAGGTGGGTGCAAGCAGATGAATGGGGTGGCAGAGGAGGGACATTTAGTTTCCATGCTGGCTGGGGAGGAGGAGCAGAGAGGGCTTTTGCGTTATTTTCCATTGATTTCTTTATTTTGGGGGAGCTTTTCTCTTTCCTTGCTCCAGGGTGGTGTAATATTTTTCTCACACTGAAGATGCATCTGGTGACCCAGAAGGCTTTGAACTCTAGAGACCCAAACTCTTCCCTGATCTGTTCTTTTTTTTATCTCTTCTGGCATGGAGGGCGGATGTACAAGGGCTTGGAAATTTACACAGGGCTTGTGGGTGGGTGTGTCTGAGTATAGACTTTTCTGTCGACTTTTGGATGATATTCCAACCACTGATCTCCTGTGGAGAGAGCATTGGCTGAATATCATCTGAAACAGATAGAATTATCTATTTGAGATGCTGAGCATAAGGCATCCTTGGGCATATAGCTTTGCCTTTTTAAATGTCAAAAATATGCTTTCAATTACGAACAGGCGTGCTTATTTAGTTAGATACTGTATGTATTTCATATATGATCTCTTAGAAGCATATTAAATTTAAACTGGTCTCTAAAGCCTTTGTTTCCTCTGTGCCTTGTCTTTTCTCCCCTCTAATAGGGATAGGATCAGGACTCACATTTCATTTGAATGGCCAGAAATTCAATATTCTAACACTGTATTCAAAAACCAGGTATGACTATTTGCTGGGATGTTGTTTTGTTTTCTTCCATTCTGTTCTATTTAAACAGAAGGGAGGCTATTTCAGGAAATGTTCTGTCCAAGTTTCTTTCAAAGAAAATTAGAAATAGGCTATGTGGTTTAGACTCTGCCCACAAGGGTACTGCATGGAGCATTCCATTCATTCAATAGCAATTTGGATTTGCTGCTCTCTCTTTATTGATTGTGGAGGAATACAAGGCAGGAAACCCACTGTTATCTCCAATCACTTATCAGAGCTAACAGCAAGGATTCCTGATTTCACTCCTCCCCAGTAGCCTGCAGAAACTAGTCCCCACTTTCCCTAAAAGGCCCACACATACAAGTGGGTTGTTTATTGACTACTGATATGGCAAACTGCCTTGTCTAGTCTGGAGAGAATCATTGTCCTGTGTAATTCCCTATGGCTATCTTCAGTACCACCTCTTGTAGGGTGTGATGGGGCAGGGAATAGGAATCCCTGCTGTTAACCATGGTCAGTGATGGAAGACAATAGCAAGATTTTCTTGTGTTGATTTCCTTCCTATCATACAAAGAGCAACATGCAATGCCAGTTGTTATCAGCCAGTGTTTGCAAGCATCAGTTTAGAGAATTTCACTTCTTCTCTCCTTTCCTCATTTAATGAAGCTCCATATGAGGCTTCATCAAGACACTAAACCAAATGCATTATTTCTAATTCCTAGCCACAGCTATTGTAGGCCCATTGAATCACCTGCAGAATGTTAAGTCAAGAAATACAGGTCACATGGGTTCCAGTGGGATTAGGAATTGGATATTGTCCAATTTATCCAGGCTACACTGCCCAAAATTAGTTCTCCATCTTTGTCCCTGTGGTTCTTTCCTAAAGCCAAAGATTTCAGCACCATTAATTCAGAATAGTTTCCCCATTTCCTGCCTCTGTACTATATAAAGAATCTGATTTCTCTAGAAAGGAGAGACTCCAAGCAAAGGAGGAAGACACCAATCCTATTAACAAGATGTTCTACGAAAAGAACAGGCTTGATGGGGCAAAACAATACAGACCAATTGAACATGTTAAGCACATGTGTGGACTGGTTGACGGATTCATCTATGTTGCAGATGCAGAGGTGCCTAAACGTAAGAGCTTGTGAATGGTGCTGATGTTTCGTAGAGGGTGATTCTGGAGGCAGATGGTCAAGGTTGTTGAAGTAAGAATCTTCCTTTGTAGGACACAGCCTGCTAATCGAAGTGGCTCAGATGGCAGCAATGCTTGATCCTGCTCTTGGACCTTCAGATCGACCTCTGCTGGTTTTGTCCTGTATTTCGTATGCTCAGAATGAAAGAATTCCCTGTGTTCATCTGGCGCACCAGCTGCAGCTAAATCTGCTTGGCCGACCATGGAGGGTACCTTTGCTTACCTATTTGTTTCTTTTTAAAAGTGTCTTTCCTGGTTTGCAATTTGGGTAAGGCTCTTACCTTTATTTAGTATCTCGTGAGGAAAGAACTGGTATCTGGGCATTTTGCTCCTTATCTTCTGTGTGGTTGCTTCCATCGGCTTCACAGCTGGACAAGAGAAAGGAACAAAATAAATGATATTGGTGACCCACAATGAGGTGAGTGAGGGACATGGCCCGAGGAGGATCCGGAGGTGTGGAGAACGATATATGGTTTACAGGTTGGTGAAGGTTCTCAATCCCTGCTATACATAGTAACTCAGAAATAAATCTTATTGCATTCAGCTGTGCTCTCTCCCAGAGAAATGTGCCTCATGGAACCTGAGGGTCAAATTGGGCAATGGTGGCGCTGCGGGCTAAACCGCAGGAGCCTGTGGTGCATGGTCAGAAGATCAGCAGTCGTAAGATTGAATCCATGTGACGGAGTGAGCGCCCGTCGTTTGTCCCAGCTCCCTCCAACCTAGCGGTTCGAAAGCATGCAAATGCAAGTAGATCAATAGGGACCACCTTGGTGGGAAGGTAACAGCGTTCCGTGTCTAAGTCGCACTGGCCATGTGACCATGGAAGATTGTCTTCAGACAAACGCTGGCTCTATGGCTTGGAAACGGGGATGAGCACCGCCCCCTAGAGTCGAACACGACTGGACAAAAACTGTCAAGGGGAACCTTTACCTTTACCTTTTTACATAGCACATTTTCAAAATTGATGCTCTCCCAAATGGTAATTTGATAGTTCTGACCAAAGCAATGTGAACCTCAGCAGGAAAATGAGACATTTTGTGAGTTACAGCAATCTTGATTTGCAAGATTGATTGCCAAAGCACATATTTATGAGAAGATAACCATATTGGGTGGGAAATGTGTCATTCAAAGGAAATTCATGCTTCTCTTCATATCTAATTCTTATAAGATGCAGTAGTGGTGGATGTTTGCTCCTGTGGTTTTGAACAAAGGGATTGCAGTAAGTGCATCACTGCTTTGACTGGAGTTTTAATACTACTTCCATTTCCCATTTTTGTGTTTCCCATTTCTCAGAGTGACATTTTTAAATGTTTGTATAGTTATTCATCTTTGCCTTAATATTGCTGGTTAATGATGTAAGATGCCTCCTTATTCACTGTTCGTAGTTTTAAATACTGTCTTTTAAAGATGTTCACTACTGTTGTCTACTCATTGTTTTCAACTTTAAATATTGTCTTTCAATGTTGTAAGCCGCCTTGGATCCTTTTTAAGGACAAAGGTGGAGTAAAAATATTTTAAGTAAGTAAGTAAGTAAGTAAGTAAGTAAGTAAGTAAGTAAGTAAGTAAGTAAGTAAGTAAGTAAGTAAGTAAGTAAAATTAGTGGAGGCTAGATGCATTGTGGTAAAAGCACAAGCTCCTCCATGAACTACCAGTAATAGCTGACGGGGTTGAACAGCAAAAGGTCCTTACCTCAGAAGCAGGCAATATGCAGCTATGCACTGACCTTCACCAATTTTTGTAACCCCCCCTTGCACTTCACCAAATTTTAACAGCACAGTAGAGGCCCCCCCCCCCCCAAATTTCTGACTTCTTTATAGAAGAAAGTAAAGTTAAACCAGAGTCACAGGATTATATTATGGCTGATTGTCCTTTTGGAAGCCTCCTGGAATTGTGATCCTCTTTGAAGGCAAGGCATATGGTCCCAACACGCTTGCTAATTTTTATTTTTTAAACAGGCTGTGATTTTTGACACTATGTAATTATAGATTCTATGGCAGGCTTGGAATATCGTCGTCGTTTAGTCGTGTCCGGCTCTTCCTGACCCCATGGACCAGAGCACGCCAGGCCCTCCTATCTTCCACTGCCTCCCGTAGTTGTGTCAAATTCATGTTGGTTGCTTCGCAGACACTGTCCAGCCATCTCATCCTCTGTCGTCACCTTCTCCTCTTGCCAAGAACGCCCCATGATCAGAAACAAAAGGCTTGGAATATAGCCTTCAAGAAAGCTCAAAGAGTGTCCAGTTTTGGTCATTACCCTCAGAAGTTGTTGACTCCTGTACTACCTTTATTCCCAGGCTGCTTGCTTATTAAACAAAATGCTGCAATTGATGCAGATTGATCTGATTTACCAAGATGAATGTTTCCTTTTGAATAGCTTCCTGTTTTAAGCAATCAGCATGCTGATGCAATAATTACTAAATTTCTCCTTTGTTCTTTGTATCTTAATTTCTCCTTTGTTCTTTGTGTCACCACTAAAGGCAATTAACCTGTATTTCATATAGTTCAACCCTGACCATTTCATGGATGGTTGGTGTAGTCCAGTGCTTCCCAACCTTGGGTCCCCAGATGTTCTTGGACTACAACTCCCAGAAATCGTGGCCAGCACAGCTAGTGATGAAGGTTATTGGTTTAGTCCAAGAACATTGGGGGACCCAAGGTTGGGAACCACTCATGTAACCCATACTTTATCCCACATATACCTATTGATTAGACCTGGAAATTCCTCTTTCCTGGCCTTCGTTGCATCCTTTTCTCCATTCTCCATTGCTGTTCCACTTCCACCATCCACAAATATGCTAGTCTTGCAATGTTTCTAAATTTTTCTTTCTTTTGTGAGACTTTTTGTTTAAGATGGCAACATCTGTTCTTTTTCCAATTTTACAGGTCCAGGATACTGAAGTTGCTACATTAACTGGACTGTTGGATGGAATTCAATGGCTACTGGAACAAGCTAGACGTAGAAATACTTAATAATCAGTTGTTCTTAATCGTGTTGATGAACTTTCTCCCCAAGCATTACTTGACAATGAGTAACAGCTTGCTCCAGGCTAACAGGATCCCAGAAGAGATTATTGCAATTTGGATTATTGCTAATGTCATCGTAATCTGTACTATTTAAAATGTAGGCACAAAAATGCAACTGGGGAAGGGAGTGTGAAATCAGTTCTGGCTCCAGGATGGGACATAGTGCCTTCG